ACTTTCTGTTTTAGCTGATCTGTCATAAAAGTGTCTGATTATTATATTATGAGTTCAGTGAAAACCTACTCTATAAATGTTAACTTAGAGTTTTAATTATAGAATTAAGTAGAAACCTTAATATTAATCCTTATCCTAAGCTAGTGAAAGCAGTGTCATAAATCACCTACGTAACTCCTAGATAAGTGTTAGAACTTATAATGAATTCATAATAAACTACTATAAACTTGTGCTTGTAAAAATCCTTATGTCTAAATACTAAACTGCATAATCCTAAATCAAATAAGGAGTGGATACACATATCATTTATTACTTAAGCAATATCTAGTAACTTATAACCAAGTGAAAGAAAGCATTCTTGATGTGCTTCAGAGTTTAACCCTTGCATATGTTAGAAAAGGCCAAGTGGCATAGTGGGAAAAATGGAAAAATAAACCATGATATTTCCAGGTTAGCTGTGATTCTTCGCATAAACATGCCATCTTCTTTTTCCACGACTGCACAGAATTTCTTCAGCCATACCAACAGTAAATGGAAGACAGAAGGGCCTCAGCTGCCCGGACTCGCTTTGCGGCCGGGGGTCCTCAGCGCACCTGGACTTTGTCATCAGGCGGGCCTCCAAGGCTGGCTCCCAACAATTTCTTGTATAGTTGAGAAGAATGCTATTGTGGAGAGTGCTCTATTAAATCAAGTTAATTGATAGTATTATTTAGATTATCTATAACCTTGCAGATTTTCTGTCCACTCATCCTAGCAATTACTAAGAGTATTGAAGTTTCCAAAAATATTTGGAGATTTATTTCTCCCTTCAGATCTATCAGTTTTTGTCTTACATGCTTAAGTCTCTATTGTTAGGTACATACACGTTTAGGAAAGTTATGACTTGGAGAATTCATCCCATACAATATGTAATGTCTCCCTCTTTATCCATGATAATATTTCTTATTTTGAGTGTACTTTGTAAAACATTGTTCAGCTTTATTTTGTTAGTTTGCATAGTATCTCCTCTTCCATTTTTTCCTTATTAACTTACCTATGTATTTATATTGAAGGTGGATTTCCTGCAGATAGCACATAGATGGGTCTTGCTATGTTTCTATATTCAGTCTGACAACCTGTCTTTAGCCAGTATATTTAGACTATTCACATATAAAGTCATTATTGTTATTGTTGATTAACATCTACCATGTTCATTTGTTCTTTCACTCTCTTATTTTAAATTTCTTTTTTTTTTGATTTTTAATTATTCAGTCTTACCTCTTTTATTGAAATTATTTATTCTTAAAACTTTTTTAGTAGTTTCCCTAGTACTTGCAATACTTATTTTAAATAATCTGAGTTCACCTTCAAATAATACGGTATTTTCTATCATATGACTCTGGGGCAAAAAATGAATACTTGCTCACGATTTCCATAGGAAAACAATCTTCAAAACCTAACAATACTTTTAAGACTGTTGCTTCTATATTTGAACTGTTTTAAACCATTATAGATTGTGTTGACTACTCATCACCAGGCAGCTAGCATAGATAGAAAATTATGGTGAGTGACTTAAATTGAAATGATCACCTACTGCATTAGGTACAAAGCTTACAGATCAAAGTAATATTGTAATTCAGTAGCAGTGATCACTTCTAGAATATCTGTTGTGAACTTAATAAATAAAAATCTATCATATGCAAATTATAGTTTCAACATGTAAGTGTTAGAAAAATTATTAATGTGGTATTTTACATGTTTTCTTTTTGTAAACTTCCAAAATCTAGTGTTTATTAAACACCTTAGTTCAGAAACTAAATTTTTATTAGGAATACTTGAGCAGTTTTTAGATTTTATAAAATTTACACTTACAAATGTAGCTTCACATACCTAAAATATTTCAAATATATTCAGTAGTTTCAGTAACTGAAGTGATTATCACTGTGTCATTTTTCTCTTATATTAGTATCTTTTTGATAAACTTCTTTATCTATTTTAGAAGTATTGATTAGACTCTGAAGCAAAAACATGTCAACTTGAAAACTACATCTATCCAAGTTATTTAATAGCTCATGTCAATTCAGAATTATTAATATCAAATTTGAATTCAAGTTGAAAAGCACTCTAAGTTTATTATTATCAACAAGATGTTTTATTTTCTTGTAGTTTTATATGCAATTTAGATGATGCTGTTGTTTAGAATTGAAATCCACATATTGAATCATGTTAGAATAACATGTAAATCATTATTATTGAAATTAATTATGAAAGTTTTTCATTTCAAAGTAAAATCTAATACTTGTTTAGTAAGGTAATAAATGAGCTTTTCTTTTCAGCATAATAATTACAAAACATAAAGCATTCTGCCATTTTTGTTTTTATTATTAGATATATGGCAAGTATCTTTTTTTATTTCAAAGTAGCCTTGAGTTGGAATTAGCAATAAAATAAATTTTTTACAAATTTAAGTTGGTCAGGCACAGTGGCTTAGCCTGTAATCACAGCACTTTGGGAGGCCAAGGCGAAAGGATTACCTGTACCCGGAATTCGAGACCAGCCTGGGCAACTTGGTGAGACCTCGTCTCTACAATAAATCACAAAAAAAACCCTAGCTGGGCGTGGTGGTGTGCATCTGTAGTTCCAGCTATGGCTGTTTGGAAAGCTGAGGTGGAAGAATCGCCTAATCCCAGCAGGTCGAGGCTGCAGTGGCCGTGAGCATGCCACTGCACTCCAGATTGGGCAACAAGAGTGAGACTCCAACTAAAGAAAAAAAAATTAAGTTGAGTTTAACAGAAAAATAATTTACACTACTTTAGTTTTAAAATTAAAATTAATATGAATGAAATTAAATATTCAGATTCTCACTAGCCACATTTCAAGTTCTCAATATTGAACAGCGCAGATCTAGATTTTAGTGAATCTTCTCACTAGTTGCTTTATATGGTTAATTAGTCACTGCAAATAATAAAGTTAATAGTGTCACTCATTTTAAACATTTCCCATTGGTGATTATTAGGCATATCAACAATGCTATATCAAAAGTCCATCTGTTTATATTTTTGGTATTAAAATATGGAACTTTTGGGAAATAATTAAGAATATTAATTGGGTAGTCATAACCCTACATGCCTAGAATAATTCAGTTTATGCTTGTTTCCCCAAATTAATTATCAATAACATTTTATTTTCAAAAGTATCTTGTCTTAGGTAATAACCTATATATTAATTCTTGATATAATGCAAAGTACATTAAAATCTCAGGAACCAAGCAGTATGTAGTAAGCTAAAATGTGAGTTAATACATGTAAAGACAGAGGGCATAAGCCTCCCACACTATTTACATGTACCTATCTGAGACAGCCCATGGGAACAAAAGACTGAATAGACTTGCTGCCTGTCTAGCTTTTCCAAGAGTACAGCCAAAGAGGAGTATCTAGAATGTTATTCTAAATGTTATAAAGCTTTTCCTTTACCACTTAAATTAGCAGCTCTCACTGTTTTCTTTGGTAGAAAATCCTGGTAATAGTGTCTTAAAATTTACTTGTTGCCTTCAATGAAAACCACAGATATTATACTAAATATAACATATACCTGGAACAAAGGGGAGAATTCCAGTTTCCATATATTAAAAAATTTAAACTAGAAAGTGTTTTTAAAAAAAATAAATGCAGGGATTGGATGCAGTGGCTCATGCTTGTAATCCCAGCAATTTGAGAGACCAAGGCAGAAGGATCACTTGAGCCCAGGAGTTCGAGACCAGCCTAGACAACATAGTGAAAGCCCCATCTACACACACACACACACACACACACACACACACACACACACACACACACAATTTAGCAAGGCATAGTAGTATGTACCTGTAATTCCAAGCTACTCGGGCTGCAGCGAGCTATGATGATGCTACTACATAGTAGCCTGGGCAACAGAGCAAGACCTTGTCTCAAATAAATATTACACTGGAGACTAACCTAAAAAATACACAAGAAAGATATATCAATTATGTGCATATAAATTATGCTCCTCAATTTCTAGTAAGTAGTTTTTTCTCTTAAGTGAGGAGGACTAATACATATTACCAGTTAGGTGTAGCTAATAAAACATCATATCACATTTATCAAATTTAAGTTTTATAACAACCCTAAGAAATATTATTTACGTTTTATAGTTCGGGAAACTGATGCTCAGAGAGGTTCTATAATCTGCTTTAAGTTTCTAGCTAGTGAGTAGTGGATTTAAGGCTTTGATGATTCTTGCATAATATTGTTCCAGTTATAGTGTCTGGCTTACCATACAAGGCTCATGAGACCTGTAAATCATTCTTTTGGGGGAGAATCTTGGTGGCAGCTTCTGTGGGTCCCTGTTTTCTTATTTTTCTAGAAAGAATGTAAGTGTTCTGGCTTCCTAGAATTTAGGAGATTCAAAACTCACATTTTTGTAAACAAAATAAAATCTAGACCCTGAGAGACTGAATGAAAGTTATCCAAACTTCAAAATCCCCCCTCATTCCTCCACAAAAAAAACCCCAACAAATAAACATATGTTAAATAATTTTTGGGCTGGTAAGAATACTGTTGCATCATTAATTTAGACATAAATTAACTTGCAATATATTAAACGCTCTCAAAACTGGGCTGAACAATACTATAATGGAAACTTCGAAGAGGGAATTTATACTACAAAATAGGGGAGTTGAAAGAGCATGGACTTTAAAATTAAGCAGTCCTGAATCTGAATTCTGACTGCCAGTTATACTTTGTGTATCTTTACCTATATTATTTAATTCTTTGGAGCTTTAGTTTTCTCATCTGAAAGTAGCAATATTCCTACCACACAGACTTAACTATTTCAGTTTTATAAATGGTATTATTTGTTGCAATTTTAATAATACAAACATCTTCTTTTTATACATAGGTCCCAAATGTGGTGCCTTTTCATGGTGATGTATTTAATCCTAATTCTTAGAACTACTCATAGTATCTTTCAAAAATCTAAGATCTGTGAACCCTGAAGCAAATATGCATATTGTAAGTTGTTAGGAAATAAATCTCAACTGCTAAGATAACAGAGAATGCTACTCTTCAAGTTTTGGAGTTTTAACTTAATAGATTTTATAGTTAGATGTATATTTCTGCATTTATACATTTTGATATGGGTCAATTAATATTCATCACTTGCTATTTTATAGCTTAAACTTTCTCCTTCAACGTTATTCTATTTCTGTGATAAAAAATATATAAATATATCCATACTTTCATAGAAGACTTTATTAGTTGGGCATAGTAGCTCATGCCTGTAATTCTAGAACTTTGGAAAGCCGAGGAGGGGGCATTGCTTGAGCCCAGGAGTTAGAGACCAGCCTAGGCAACATAGCAATACCTTATCTTTTTTATAAATAAATTTTAAAAAGAAAATATTAGTAGACTAGTTCTTGAGATAGCTCTTAAATGGCAGGGATTTGCTGTTTAATTTTATTTATCTTTGAATTCCTAGGTGTAAAGCTTGTGCTCAGTAGGTGTTCTATAAATAACTATTATCTGAATGAATCAGTAAATTAGTGTAAATAAAAGTAGATAAGTCTGAGGTGGAGAGAAAATACCAAGACTCATTACATGATGGATTAGAAATAGTGAATGATCCAACTTAGTTGGCTAACAATTTATACTAAAAGGCTTGTTTTTTCTTTATTTAGAGCCAAATTATTTCCTACTGGGGCTATCCTGATGAAGAGTATAACATTGTCACCGAAGACAGTTATATCCTTGGCCTTTATAGAATTCCTTACGGGAAGATAAACAATAATAACAATCCAGGTAATATTCAATTGAAAATAGATTGGTGATTATCTTAACTTTTTCAGTTCTTCTCCGTGCATTTAGAGCAAGAAAAGGATCTTAAGATTAAGTAAATAGTTAACTTCTCATATATTTACCCCCAGGCCTCTGGAAGCAAATCTTGTTCTCTGCTAGCCTTCTATATAGACTGGTTGTTGTAGAACACAACCAGTTCCTCCCAGGTTTTCTTTGTGGTTGTCTTTGCACATACAAATTTCCTGTTTTGATGAGGAGTTAGAAATACTCTGAAAATGATAACATTATTATTCTATAGGTTTGAAGAAAGGCTAACAAAAATTTCATTTTTTGTCTTTATGAGTCTCAACTCTAATAATAGCAGAGAGATCATATTGGTAGGCAGCCTTGTGGCTCTTTATTGCAATGGTAGATACATTGGTATCAGCAGAGTGTGGTACAGAATGCACTAGAATATGTTAGGAGATTTAGGTTGTAATCCTAGGTCTGCCACTTAACTAGTAGACTGTGTAATGAATTAGTTTTGCTTATTCATACAATTGCCCAAATCAGAGCCAAGGTTTTTTTTCTTTTCTCCTCAGATTTTTTCCCTAAAAAGAATGTTTCTTATATTATAAAGCACCCTCTCAAGTTCTGTTGAACATTAAAGTACATTTCAGAGAAGACATTAATTTGAAATATCATCAGTCAATGCAATTCTGGATATTTATAAAGGTCACATGTAGTACGCAGAAAATATTAACATAGATTCAACATAATAATATTATAGCAATTATCCCTCATAGTATAACTTCCTTTTGCAAGTATTGTAATAAAATATCTAAAGAGAATTTGAAAATATAGCAAGTGTCTTAGAGTGCTCTGGAAACAGAGCCTGAGAGAAGGATTCATGTGCATATGATTTATCGGTGGAATACCGTCAGGACAAATTAATGAGGAAATTAGGGGAATGTAGGGAAAGGAGCTAAGGAAGCACGTGATTCAGCTGAGGTCTAGCTGCCAAGTGATCTCAGAGGAGTTCATGGATCCCATAAATTGCACTACAGAGGTGGGCCCACCTTGAAGTTAGGATTTCCGTGTCAGTTAATCAGGGCTGAGGCTACCAGTAGAAGGAGATGTACTCTCCTGGGTGAAGCGGTTCCCTTTTAGCTGAGGGCAATTCTACAGAGGAACAGTGAACCCTTAGAAGGCAACACTAAGGCCATAACTAGTCTTCATACATTTTCTCCTCCACACCCATTCTAGATTTCTCTTCCTCTCAGCTAGTTTGCCTGATGTAGTAAGTCAGGCCCGCATTCCTAAGGGTTACCATCCAATCAGGTCATGGTTGTGCATCTACGGTTAACACAGGCATGGTAGTAGCAAAAGATGACTCAGTATCATCTGAAGGCCAAATTTATTTCTCCCTTTTCTCATTTTTTATCAGCAGCAGCCCTAGTTCCTTATGATGATCAAGGTCAATTAACCCTGCCAATATAGTAACTCCTTTCTCAGCTTCCTAGTCTCCAGTTATGAGGAACCCAAAGTGACCAGGCAGTGGTCATGGCTTTAAGCTAATTAGGATGTTTACGTGCCTTGGTGGAAGCAACTTCTCTCTGGAATCAAGGGCCTCTAGATCTGTAGAGCTTAAAATTGTGAGGACAGGAAGCACATATTCCTGAGTGGGTTACTAGGAGTGATGGTGAGTGAGGACACTCCTAATTCCACCATTTGTTTCTTAGACCCATGTATTCTACTTACTGAGGAACTGCCAATATCTTACGGCTATTTGCTTATGGTGTATAATAAATCCTGAAGGATAGCAGTGATGCTTTTTATTTTTTGAGTTGGAATCTCACTTTGTCGCCCAGACTGGAGTACAGTGGCACACTCGCGGCCACCGTAGCCTCGACCTGCTGGGCTCCAGCGATCCTTCCGCCTCAGCCTTCCAAGTAGCTGGAACTACAGGTGTGTGCTACCACACCCGGCTCATTTTTTTATTTATTGTAGAGATGAGGTCTCACCAAATTGCCCAGGCGGGTCTCGAACCCGCAGGCTCAGGCAATCCAGTCACCTCAGCCTCCCAAAGTGCAGGAGCAGTGATACTTAAAGTGTGTTATCTCCCAGCTGGCATCTCCACTGAGCCTTCAAGAGGTTATTTTTGTATCAGGTTGGTATCCTCTTGATGGGAGTTATATGGTAGGACCAGGAGATATCTATGGCCATGTGCCAGCAGATACGTCATGTTTGACATGAAAGGTCAAATGTGTTATTTAAAATGTTTTATTTAAATGTGTATTATTGCCCAAATTACTATAAGATTTTTTATTATTCTCTAATTTTATATATTTAAAATGAATATTTAAGTGGTGTGTGATCTAATTACCCACTTGGTTATTTGAAAGAAATTCATTAGTGAACTGTATTAATAAACAGGTCTAACAAAATGAGAGTAAACATTAGTAGTGTACTTCATTTATGCAAACAATTTTTAAAAATCTTCCAACGTTTATTTATTAAAAGTTTGAATTTAAGATATGAGATTTTCATATAGATACTACAAAATTTAAAAAGAAAATGTCCACATTTTGTTTTTCCAGTTCAGAGGCTTGTTGTATACTTACAACACGGTTTGCTTACATCTGCCAGCAGCTGAATTTCCAATCTTCCCAACAATAGTCTGGGCTTCTTTCTGGCAGATGCTAGTTATGATGTGTGGATGGGAAATAGCAGAGGAACTACCTGGTCCAGAAAACGATTATACCTGGAAACCAATTCTAAAGAATTCTGGACTTTCAGGTACAAATAAAATGAAGTAGCATTTTATTTTATTTTATAAGTGTCTTAAGCTTTTTTTTCTTTTTGAATGAAATAAGATAAAATATAGGTCTAACTCTTTTCTCAATTCAGGCTTTTCATAGACATTCAATTTTTGTAAATTTTGGTCTGAAGAATAAAGAGTGCTCGTTTGATTTTGTTTCTCATTTTTCAGCAGTAATCTTTACTTCTTACTTAGTAACTTATTGGCCAATTCCATCCTTGCTTTAACTACTCTTCTACTGTGTAACTCATATATTTGTTTACCCCACTGTATTTTTAATATACAAACAACCTCTTTATAAGACTGACTTGTGGTCATTTTAGTTCCTTGATTTTGTGTTCTCCACAGAAGTGTCTCTTCATAGGTATATTATATCATGGAACTTCTAGATGCATAATCAAGGAGGGTTGAAAATTGCCTTTATTCATTTACCCATTTATTATCTTCAAATATTAATATAACATTAGTTGAAAGTGCTATTTTTTATTCTCCTCTATCTTTTGTTGTTTTGATGAGATGGCAAAATATGACCTTCCAGCCTCCATTGATTTCATTGTGAAGCAAACTAGGCAAGAGGAAATATTTTACGTAGGCCAGTCATAGGGCACTACTATTGGTATGCCAAGAAAGATTATTGCTAATATCCCTTAATTACTTTTCTAAGGTTGTATATATACTTTCTTTTTTTTTTTTTGAGTTGGAGTCTCACTCTGTCGCCCAGACTGGAGTGCAGTGGCCGCTCCTGGCCACTGCAGCCTCTACCTGCTGGGTTCCGGCCATCCTTCCGCCTCAGCCTTCCAAGTAGCTGGAACTATAGGTGCGCGCTAACACACCCAGCTAGTTTTTTGATTTATTGTAGAGATGAGGTCTTGCCAAATTGCCCAGGTGGGTCTCGAACCCACGGGCTCTGGCAATCCACTCATCTCAGCCTCCCAAGGCACGGGATTACAGGCTGAGCCACCGAGCACGGCTCTATATATACTTTTTAAAGTTGTAGGTAAGCTTCTGGAATTGTAAGTGAAACAAGACAAAACTATGAGAGAAACACAGCATAGCAGCATGCCTTGGAAGCTTACAAACTACTTTGATTACACAGGGAATCTTCTCCAAGCACAAAGAATCGACTGTAAAGATAAAGTTGTTTCTGAATTTGTTTCCACCTATGTACAAGTTGGATATTCATGTTTCTTAAGATCAAAAAGAGATCTTAACTATAATTTGTTCCACAAATAGAACTTTCACATTATTTTTCCTTTTAAAAACGTAGGGTTTTAAAAACATAGGGTTTTATGAGTGTGAAAGACTTAAAAGAGCTATTTATATTTTTGCGTTCAGGACCAGATCAAACAATAAATTTACAAAAATGAGAAAGGTCTTTTTTATTTTATTTTATTTATTTATTTATTGAGTTGGAGTCTCACTTTGTCAACCTGACTGAAGTGCAGTGGCCGCTCTCGACCACCGCAGCCTCAACCTGCTGGACTCTGGTGATCCTTCCACCTCAGCCTTCCAAGTAGCTGGAACTACAGGTGCACAATACCATGCCCGGCTAATTTTTTGATTTATTGTAGAGATGAGGTCTTGCCAAGTTGCCCAGGCGGGTCTTGAGCCTGCAGACTCAGGCAATCCATTCACCTCAGCCTCCCAAAGTGCGGGATTACAGGCTGAGCCACCGAGCCCGGCTGGTCTTTTATATTTTAAAATGACTAGAAATAAGAACTCTAATGCCTATCTCATGCATAACAACTTTACTTTCAGAAATAAATTCCTATTGTACTTCTCTTACATTATTCTATAAACCTCTTTACTCTTATTCTTTCTACTTTGCAGGAAGAAAAAGTCACTTTTATTATTATTATTATTATTTTGAGTTGGAGTCTCACTCTCTCGCCCAGACTGGAGTGCAGTGGCTGCTCCCAGCCACCGCAG